TTTATGTTACTAAAGTAATTTTTTCAGGAAATGCATCTTCCTTCATTAATAACCAAATATTAACCAGATTTTGTGTTAATCCAGGTGCACATAACTTTGGTATTTGGTACAATATAATTATCAGTACCACTACAACACTTACTGATGCATTTCGTAACTTTAACCCACTTCACTGTATCCCCTAATTTCAGTTTAAAAACCGGTGATGGCATCTTTCTGATACATTAAACATTAACAAAATAGTCTGCAATCTTTACAAAACTTTCGGTAAAATAGTTTCCTTTGTTGAAATACGAGGTGTGTTCAGAAAATAACGGGAATTGTTAAATTTCGCGGGTTCGGAGGGTCCGGTTGTCATAAAATTTTCTTTATTATGTTTACTTTGTCTGTGGCAGCCGCTAAGGTTAGACGTGTTTTATGAGCTCGGCAATATTTCGTTCGTTAAAAGAAATGGATCAAAGAATTTGTATCCAATTTTGCTTAAAAAAGAAATAAATTCTGTGAAATGTTAACAAAGGCCTATAGTGAGTCTGCTATAAGTAAAACAAGAGTTTACAAGTGGTTTAAGAGTTTCCAAGATGGCCGTGAAGACGTTGAAGATGACGAACGCCCCGAAAGCACAAGCACATTAACAACCGATAAAAACATGGAAAAAGTGGAAGAAATGGTTATAAACCATCAGAGAAGTCGCTGATGATGTTGGTATATTTATTGGCTCATCCCATGAAATTTTTTCGAATGTTTTTGGTATGAAACGCTCGGCAGCAAAATTTGTTCAAAATTTTTGGTCAAAAGCAATACTGTAATGATGCCCCAGCCTCCATATTCGCCAGACATGCCTCTGTCTGACTTTTTCCTATTCCCAAAAATAAAGAGAACCTTAAAGGGCCGTCGTTTTGCAAGCATAGATGACATTAAAAGCGCTTCGCTGAAAGAACTAAAGGCTATCCCAAAGATCGAGTTTTAGAAGTGTTTCGAGTATTGGAAGAAGAGCTGGCACATGTGCATAATATCCAATGGGGACTATTTTGAAGGCGACAACATTAATGTAGACGAATAAATAAATATTTCCCGATATTTTCTGAACAAACCTCGTAATAACAAACCATGGTTTTCTCCAAAAAATTATGTTAAAATTTTACAAAATAAAATTAACAAACTGCAAACAAGGAATTGAGCTGGAAATTTCTGTGGCCTTCACCATCACCAGATCTGCCTACCAGTGACTACTACTACTACTACTGCTAAAAGGGAAAGAAGATTCGCATATATTTTTTTGTCAGTGTAACTACTAATGCCTACTTGATTCTACTGCAATTTGACTGTTTTCTCGAGTCTAAAATTATTAATTATCCAGTTTTCGAACAAATTTAACTAGAAAATTTGCTGCTAATGTCGCGGGAAATTGTTTGGCTAATTTCGCGATGTGTCGACAGAAACATTGTTTTACCCGTTAAATTTAGTTTGCAATTTTATTAATTAATACGTACATTGTTCAGGAGTTTCCAACAGTTACCTTTTGTTTTGTAGCTGCTACCTACAGAAAGTTTTGTTAATATAATTGGTATTATTACCTGAAATTACGGATTTGTTTTTATGACAGGACTGTAAAATTTAAATAAATTTAAATACCGTAAAAACAAGATTTTTATAAATAGTTACCTTAAAGTCAAATCATTAGATGACGCTGAAAACAATTATAACTATCTCAGTCGGTAATAATATAGAACTAGGTACTTTATTTTGGGTCCAATATAGGACAAAAAAGTTCGCACGTTACTTTGGCGGTAAGATTTTTGTTTTTTTGTTAAGAGCAGGGCTGTGTTTAAATTACAAAAAAATATTTCTAAAAAGTGTACAGATCAGTGTATGGTATAAATGTGTTCCTCATGGTTTAATGCGTTTTAATTTTAATTCTGAAAACAAACAGTAAAATGGCCAGTGTCCAATTACTGGTTGGTAAAAAATGTAAATTCTATTATTGGACATATGTCCAGTATCATACTCTATTTGTATCCCGGACATTTACCAGTCAAATCATATGTAAAATTGTCCCCTGAATACGAAAAGACTGTCAAAAACTATAGTTAGCAGTTAAGCAGTTTTTGAGATACCTATAGTATTCCATATTATATGTAAAATTGATTATATTTTAAAAACTGCAGCCACTAATAACTCTCGTCAAACATGTTTTACTTTTATAACTTTTGACGACATTTTCGGATTCAGCGAATAATATTTCATAGGAATTGACTGCTAAATGTCCTGGATACAAATTGCTGTTGACGAGAATTATTAGTGGCTGCTTTTTCGCTATGACATTTTTGACTAATTCATTTTTGGAGAGTAAGTAATACAGTGATTTCTTCGTCACAGGACATCTTGCAGAATAACAGTTATTTAAATACAGTGCATGGTAGAGAACATACAAAATGGCAACAAAATTAATAAATTCGGAAAATACTTTTAACATACCACCCGAAAAAATATTAGATATATATACATCATCCTGTTCCGGCCTAAGCTAGAGATAACAAACTTAATGATATTTGCAACAAACTATTTCAGAAGTTAGACCAAGGAATTAGTAGTAACCGTCAGAATCCAGAAAAGGGATGAGGAATCTGAGAAAGAAATATATGAATTATATAATATTTACAAAAACGAAACAAAAAAAATTACCTAAAACAGCAATTAAAAATATTTAACAATTTATGATATTTGATGTAAATGTTTATATAAAAATTTTATGTCCAATAACTATGGTCCAATTACTATATAATATGTCCAATTACTATACTTTGTTGCATGTTTTTATAAAACTATTATTAAAAATTCAAAGTTTAAAATTTTAAATAAATAATATTTCCTAAGTGTCCAATAACTATGTGGTTTACCCTAACTATTTATTAAATTTCATAAACCTCAACATCTTCCTATCTCATCTATCAAAAAGATACGCATTTTTCCTGCCCAATATAGAAGATTGATTTCCACTTAAAAGTATTTGTTTTCGATGAAGTTTGCGTTTGCAAAAACTTCATTATTTAATAATAAAAATAATAGAGGGGACCCGGAATATTTATTTTCCAGAGGGAAAGGAAAAAAGAAATACACAGAGACCGCTTAGGAGTGCAAACACGCACTTTATACACGCGTGTTGTATTTTTTGAAAGAGACAAAATGGAATTGCATACCTACACAGGGGGGATCAATTTCGCTGCACGGCAAGCCACTGAATATCAATGGGGGTTAAAGGTGAAATATTTATGGGAAAACGGTAAAATTACTTTTATGGGGGTTGACTTGGATGTCTCCATAATGACGATCGTGAATTATTTAAAAGGGTTTATTTTTTGTAAAACTGTTATGGTATTTTTTGTAAAAGTAAATCTAGTCGACAATCTTAAACCATTTATATTATACGGTTTTGAAATATATTATTATATATATTTATAAAGTATAAGTGGGTGAATATTTCAAAAGTGTAATTCAATCGGTTCTGGCTTGTTATTTCAAAAGTTAATATCCCACTGAAAATAAAATATTTGATGTCTAGTTTAATTAACTATTTTTACTTGATTCCTTACTTATTTTAGTCTAAACGAGCATAGTAAAAAATATATTTTAATTTTTGTGTCGAAAACGTCATTACCGTGCCTTGTTCACATTCGAGGAACACATATTATTTTCTTACATTTATTTACAAATTAAATCTTGCAATATCCTGTCTAACAAAGACGAAGAAAATACAAAATATTACAATGCAAGCAAGAAATTGAATTTTAAAATGTTAACCTTTCTTTTAATGCTGTTTAAACTTTGTTCACACCCATGAGCGTCATTGCCGTGGCTACTTAAAATGTGTATAATTTCATATTTAAATACGCGATACATTCGGAAAATGCCGGAAAGTCTGATATGGAAATATCCTAACGTCCACTAGCATATGTCAAACCATAAAGTTGTGACGTGCGCCGAATGAAAACGAAAACGGCTTGTTAAGTCTAAGTCCGCCATTGTCGGGGTAAGTATAACTTCAAAGTTTATGGACATACAAAATATTTACATTAATACAAAGGAGTCTTGCATTAACAAAAAGCAAATGGTAACTTGAAAATTCCATTACATTTTCGAATAAACATTGTAAAACACTCTAACCTTAAAATCATCATTACCGTGCTCGTCATTGTCGTGTCCCTTGCATGTAACCAATTTAGAATATTTCATTTCAGTGGGAAATTAATTAAAATGACAAAACCACGAAACAGGTTGACCAACGAAGCTAAAAGACAAGCAGAACGTGAGAGATGCAGAAGAATAAGAGATGACCAAGTAAAACCGTGGGTTCTTTCTAAAAAAGACAAAAAAATTATGTTTTTAGTCTTCATGTCTATGTTCATGAGTGTAAAAGTGCTAAAATTGCAAAATTAATAAGATTTGCAAATTTTTATGTGTTAACGAAAATGGTTCCGAAAATCGACAGTTTTAAAATATTCATTAGAAATATGATTTTTTTTAAAGGCAAAGCAAATAAATATTATTAAAAAACATAGAAATGTGTCATAAAAGAGCAGAATATTGTTAATATATTTTTTATTAAATTTAGTGTTTTATTTAAATGCATTTAAACTCGCTTTAATGCATGCATTAAAGCGAGTACAAAAATATTATTTTTACGTAACATTAAATGGAAAATTTAATATTCAAAGTATGAAATATAATAATGAGATTTTATCGATTTAAATATTTATGAACGTGAACCTAGCGTCATTTATCCATTAAATTTTATTGGAGTTGACAAAATAAATATGTTGAATAATATTAAAAAATTACTTTAAAAAAGGGTGAATCCTCCGGAAATAATTTACCCTTTATTAAACATAATTTTATACGGGGTATCCCAAAAATATAAATTTCATATCATTATCCAAAACAACTTGTTGGAAAAAAGTATCGTTTTGTTATTAAAGTGAGGTTATGAAAAGACAAAGCATCATGCGAGTGCTTTATTTAAGAATAACTACAAAATATTAAAAAAAAACTTCAAATGTTATTCTACTCCATTGACATTTTTTTATCTGACAAATATTTAGCTTTATAACTTCCTGTAGGATCATATTTTTCTTCCAGAAGAGTCCAATAATCAGGTTTATTATCGATTAGAAATTTGATTATGTAATCAGAACCTTCTCTTTGTTTTTCGGAACATTTACTGCAATCGGTTTCTATGGCGTCTGGCATATTCTCTAAAAAAGGCAAAACTTTTTAAATAAAATTTTTATTAATTTATTAATTAATTTAGGCACGAAATTAATGAGTGTCTAGAAAAGTTCATAAACGAGTTGCATACTATACTTTTTCTACGACAAATACTAAAAATGATTTAAATTAAATATTTGTTTAGAGCGACATATATAAAACAATAGGGTAACCATTCTAACTTGTGTTCTGTGTGGGATGTCAAATGTCAAATTTTTAGGTGTAAATCGAAATTTAACCCTTGAAAATGGACCAACTAATTCTGATATAGAAGCAGTTTACTTTTAATACTGTATTTTTATATTAAGATAATAAAATAATTTTCACATTTAGTATTATTTTACAAGAAAGGCAATTTATTTTAACGATTTTATGACATTTGACAACTGTCAACTAACTTAAAACTAACTTCAGCCCGTGACTAAAAACCAGAGGAGTTTACTGCCGGCGAAATTAAAAGGTCAGTACAATGTTCATATAAACTGTACAAATATTGGCGTTGAGAAACTATTTAATACTTTTATATTTTTGTATTGAGATAATAAAATAATTTTCACATTTAGTATTATTTTACAAGAAAGGCAATTTATTTTAACGATTTTATGACATTTGACAACTGTCAACTAACTTAAAACTAACTTCAGCCCGTGACTAAAAACCAGAGGAGTCCGTGCCCGAATTTAAGTTATAGTTTACTGCCGGCGAAATTAAAAGGTCAGTACAATGTTCATATAAACTGTACAAATATTGGCGTTGAGAAACTATTTAATACTTTTATATTTTTGTATTGAGATAATAAAATAATTTTCACATTTAGTATTATTTTACAAGAAAGGCAATTTATTTTAACGATTTTATGACATTTGACAACTGTCAACTAACTTAAAACTAACTTCAGCCCGTGACTAAAAACCTGTTGCTAACTTCAGCCCGTGACTAAAGCGCCATAAAGCCACAACTTGTCAATGTGTATTTAAAAGGTCACTTAGTGTCATGGAACCATGTACGATAAAGGGCGTTTTAAAGGTGGGAGTAGAAAAACAAAAGTAGCTTACTTCTCAATTCGAGACCATCTGGGGTACAGCTGGCTTTTTCCAAAAGGCAATCAACATAGTTTTTCAATAATCTATCGTTTTTCACTAAATCTGCCAAATCTACATTGTCATATTTGGTTGTATATGTGGAGTCTTCCTTAGTACAAGCTAAGGAAAGCAATGCTACCAAAACCACAATGGAAAATATTGGCTTCTAAAAAACAAATAAATAAAAAACTCTTTGATACTCAATAATTTTATAAAACCTCAAAAATAAATACAGAAATTTTTAATATTATTGGAGATATTTTAAGTATTCTTACCATTTTTTTGTTGTTGACACGGGCACTATAATGATGTAGTTTATTCGAGACCTCCTTTTATATCATTATTTTTTGTCAATAATAATAATGGGGTACAATGTCAAATAGATTTCTTGCACGAATTCATTTTAAAATTTGTATACATTTTACAATAATTGGAAGAATTATTATTGTCTGTTTTATTAAATACCAATCAAATAAAGTATTTTTTTATTTAATTTCTCATAATATGACCAAGTATTTTTTTCTTTTGACTTAAATATTAAATAGGAATAATTATTATAATCATATATTACATATAAATATATTTATCTACTCCTACATTGACGAGCTGTAACTTTATGGCGTTTTATTGACGGGCTGAAGTTAACAACAGTGGCTTTTCGACATTTTACGTCACGGGCTGAAGTTAGCTTTATTATAAATTGGGAAAAAGTGAAGTTAAATTCGGGTGACAGTTGACAGATGTCAAAATTTTAACAAATAAAATTGGCTTTAAATTCTGTTTTGTGTTCGTCGTAGATAAAGTATAGTATGCAACTCGTTTATAAACTTCTCTAGACACTCGTTTTTATTAAACACTCGCTCGCAAGCTTCGCTCGTGCCTAATTAAACTCGTAACTAAAATGGCGTTTATAAAACTTACATAATATACTATTTTCTACTCCCACCTTTAAAACTCCCTTTATCGTACATGTTTCCATGACACTAAGTGACCTTTTAAAAACACATTGACAAGTTGTGGCTTTATGAGCAGAAGTAAGCAACAGGTTTTTAGTCACGGGCTGAAGTTAGTTTTAAGCTAGTTGACAGTTGTCAAATGTCATACAATCGTTAAAATAAATTGCCTTTCTTGTAAAATAATACTAAATGTTAAAATTATTTTATTATCTCAATGCAAAAATACAAAAGTATTAAATAGTTTCTCAACGCCAATATTTGAAAAGTTTATATGAACATTGTACTGACCTTTTAATTTCGCCGGCAGTAAACTAAAATTCGGGCACGGACTCCACTGTAAAGTGCTCATAAAACATTTTCTTTACTTTCACTGTAAAGAACTGTCAATTTTCAAGAAATACATTTCGATTTATATCCTTTATAATTGTGTTTATAAACTATAAAAATTTGAGATTTGACGTTGACACACAGATTCCCCTATTGTTTCATAGATGGCGCTCTATACAAATTTTTAAATTAAATCATTTTAAGATAATAATAAGTATTTGTCGTAGAAAAAGTATAGTATGCACCTCGTTTATAAACTTTTCTATACACTCATCAATTTAAATTAAATTCGTGTATAAATTTTATGTAAAATGCATAGTATGTACCGATTGCGACAATCACGTGATGTTCTTACATCTCGCCATGGTTGACTTAGCTGGACAGTATATAAGCTCAGGTGTCTTTCGTGTTCCAATACACCAAATTGCCCGACATTGATAAGACCCAAAATAAGTTTATCTATCGAGCTGTCTGTCGGTATTTGAAATTTGTGGAACGCACTTAAAACAAAAACTTTGGTGAGGTAAAGGTTCATTTTTTTTAAATATTTATGGGAATTAAAATGAATTGTACAGTATAATTACAATACACCATTTTAAAATTACTAAACATATTTAGTATTTTTTTTTAGCAAAATTACAATACCTGTAATGTTACTGAACAAATTTTTAATAAATGCTTAGTGAATTTCAACAAACGTTTTGTAATTTTCGAAAATTGAGTTGCTATAAATCGTGTAGTGAATTTACAAAACTGAGTTTTATTATTTAGCAATACAGGGTGTTATGTAATTAATGTTATATATTAAAATACTGAATACATTTTCACATAAGGAGTAAAGAAAAAATATGCATTAGAAGTTTTTTATATTTTTGTGATACGCCACTGGTTACACACTTGGTTTATCTCTGCACACTTGTGTTCTGTGAGTACATTAGGGTGAGCCAAAAAAACTAACCTATCGGATTTATGGGTTAAAATGAACCTACAAACCGAGAAAAAAATTTTAAAAGGTGTCGGTGAGCAAGTTTTCCATTGAAATAACACGTAAAAAAATCTTTTTTCATTAAAAAGACTATAACTTTTGAACCGTTTGAGATAAAATTTTTTACGTCGCGGATTCTTGTAGAGCATAAAATTTCCCAAAGAATCTATACCAGAATTATTTTTTTTAATTAAAAAATTCGTATGTTTGAAAGCTTTGAAAAGTGTAAAAAATCACTAAAACTGCAGGGAAATTTTTTACTCGGTATGTAGGTTCATTTTAACCCATAAATCCGATAGGTTAGTTTTTTTGGCTCACCCTAGAGTACATAGATACCAACCAACAAAGTAGCTGCGCGTTGCCAGATGTAAAAAATTGTTACTAAAAATTTTCTTGCAAAAAATAAATACAAAAGTTGTATGCCCTTAAAGCTCTAATACCCTTCTGTATTTATTTACTCATCCAGCTATTAGCTTAAGCAAAATATTTTAAAAAATCCATAACCACAAAATTAATTTTTTCATCAGTTTTTTTCTTTTTGTTTACTCAGATGAAATTGGGACCAGTTCACAGGTTAAACTTTAAACATTTAATTTGTGTAAATAAATCCAAAAGCACTTCCCTTAGTTAAGATATTTACAATTTGAGCTCATAACCTAAAGAAGAAATGCACTAGATTCTGTCATAAAAGTTAGCAGATTTTGTTTGAATTTACCTTCAGAACAAAAATGACATAACCAACAATTAATAAAAACGCCAAATTGACAATTTGCATTGTTAATTTTGTCATTTTTGTAATTAAGCTAAATTTAAACAATGTTTGTCAACTTTTTTGACAGCTTTTGGAAACACTGTTGTTACCAACCATAACATAATAAATTAAATTAGGCAACCAGATTAGCCTAAAGTTCCTAGTCGATCAGTGGCGTACTTTTTGGTAGGATAAAGGTTATTATAAGTTATTTTTAGACTTTGGAATTTAGAAAAAAAAAGTTTCAGGTGCTTCTTTATGGATCCTAAGGAACAACCCATTTTAATATATAATATTAATTACATAACACCCTGTATAGTTATTGTGGTGCCTAAAAACTTCCTAAACATGTTTAGTAAAATTACAATAGAAATTTTTAACAGTGCACTCCCTATTGGAGAAAATGTACCTAAGACGATATTTGAAAAGATTTTATTTTTTACTGTTTTAAGTAGTACCTATTTAATGTCTGGTTTAACATTCTAAAATGTTTAATTTCTAACATTAGGTACCTACAGGCAGTGGCATACCCTGACGTTTAGATATTTGTTTTTATATTTTCCCATTCAATTTTAATTCCGATAATATAAATTATAATTTTACTAAAAAGCATAATGAAAATTTAAAAAGTTTATTTTAATCGCCAATTAAAATATTAATTATATCATAGAAAAACATCACAGTCAAACACTTAACATTAAAAAGCATCCCATAACAAATTAAAGACAACAAAAAAAATATTTCGACTCTGTTGCATACCCCATTTTAAATGACATTGCACGCCAATGCCTACAGGTTCCAAAAATAAAATAGGTTTCACGTTCGCACTGTATAATATACAGTGTATGTGCATATGTTTGTTGCAGCATGAAATGCAATTGTAGTAAAATTAATGGAATTAGCTGTAATACGTTGGCAATGAGCATTAGTGTGGCTCTTTATTTCGATACCAATCAGCTCTGTCGGCCGCGAGTGGATAGAGTTAAAAAATCATTATAGTTTTCCTATGCCAATAGCGATAAAGTGAACGCGGCAATAAACCGAAGCGTTTTGGTATTGGCAGAGTGTTAAATAATTTAATTAAAGTTACGATATACAGTGTGTATCAGCCAAATGGAATAAATTCGATAATACTGAATGGAGGCGTGTTCCAATAAACGCTAGGACAAGTATTGGTATTTTTAGTTGCCCATTTTTTTTTTTAAGTAAAACTGTTTATCCCCCCATTGCATAATATTGGGTATTTTTTGTGAATAATGATAAACATAAATTCTCTGCCTAACAACGTAAATAATAATTAATTAATTGGGAGAAGGCAACTATAATAACATTTAAAATTGGTAAAAAGTAAGGTTAACCATTCGACAGATGTCAGATTTTATTTAATTATTTTTCAAAATCATTTAATAATCTACTTATTGGAGTAGAAAAACTGAAAAAGTCACTTTCCAACACTTGACATAGCAAGACGCTTCGTAGCAGCGCGAGCCCTTAGAACGTAAATATCAATATCAATAATGAGTTAAGTGTTAAGTGATAAGAAAGAGTTAAGTGACAAGTGTCAGCTTCTGGGTGGTTATACCACCTGTCAATTGAACGCTTTTCACTAGACAAACAAAAGAGGACAAACAAGCGAGGAATAGGCCATCTGCAAAAATTGATAAGTATCCTTAACCATATGCATGACCTAACACATAATTTGCGAAATTAAACACGACAGATACCTTTAAAACCCTAAGAGAGGCACATTGCTTAAACTATAGAAAAAAAACAGTAAACAATAAAAAAATTAGAAAGACCAAACACCATAAAAATGTCACATTCGTGTCGCTGTTCACGATTCACAGTACCAACCATGAGTAGGTTGTTTACCAATTCTGTACAACAAAAATAACTACAAATTATGTCATCCAACTACGACAACCACAATATTACAAAAAAGCAAGTTTTTGATGGTAAAATTTAAAAAATTTTGTTAAAAATAGGAATTTAGGTGAAATAGGTAAAATTACACTGGTTTAGGTAGTAAAATGAAAAAATTTGGTCTATTTCTTTTGAAAATGAAAATTTAGGTAAAATAGGTAAAATAAAATCAGGCTCAAATGAAATCATTTTCTTCAAAACGGATTTTATTCCATTGCACCTAAAGTTATGATTAGCGTAGACAAATAGGTAATAACACTAAAATCCCATCTCTATTTATGTATTATCGAATTTATTCCATTTTGCTAATACACACTGTACAGCCGCATATGGGACATTCCATGCCAAATTTACATATCAAATAAGATTGTATCTGCGATATTGCTGAAATCGGAATATGTTTTTGTACGTTTTAAAAGATACTGATTTTGATGATTTTTAGATTTGTTTTTGCCGAAAGTTTGGGATATTTTGAATTTTCAAAAACGATTTTTTTTCAATCGTCCACAACTTTTTGAGGTATCTTTGAATACCTACAAAACATATCCCAAAATCTCAGATGTAAACTCATTTAATTGGGAATTTTCTATATACACGGTGTTTCTAATTTAAAAAGAAACCCAAAACATTTTAGGTATAAATAATATTGTCTTTAGTATGGTCTGTGACTTTGGGCAATAGTCAGGAACCCCCAGTAATCCCATTTACAAATATGAAACAGTTTTAGATTTAAATTAATCATTTTGTAATGTAGTTCACATAATATTTTCACTCTTGAAAATTTGTCAGGCCTACTAACAAAGAAATCAATTAATTTAGGAACGCCCTGTATATTTAGTTGGTATTGGCGGTGCAAACGTAACAGCTCTGTTATTTTCAAAACAAGCAGCATTGCATTGCACTGCTACCATGTTTTATTTAAATTAGGCCGATTAAACCGACATAACATTTAATGGACATATTAGACAAACTAATATAATACCTATTTAACAGCAAATTTATTCGATACAAATTGTTCAGCTGTTATTTTTACTGCAATTAAATAAAATTAGCTAAATAATCTAGATTATTTTATTTTCAATTAATTCCATGGTAATATTTAAAATGCACAGGATTTTCCTAATTATGTTTTACAGTGTTGACGAGTTTAAACCAAACTGCACATCATTTTTAAATAAATATGTATTTTTTTCACAAAAGAGAGCAAGGCAGAATCTGACTCGACAAATTTTGTTCGCAAAATTTAAATTGCACAGCCAAATCGCGCACGTTATTTGCAAGTAAAAACTAAAAAACCTTGGTTTAGTAATTGATTTTGATTCATTAATCCTTATATCATTAATTAAGAAACTCAACAATATATATGCTTATATACAATGTATATTATACATATATAGTTAAGTTAGTGTGTGTATTTTATCTAAGTGATCATGGTGAATTTTTTTGCTTTTAATTGTAAATGTAATTCAAGAAATAATTTCTTGCATTTTTATGTTTTGCAAAAGGATTCAATTCGGTATGTATATTTGTTGGCGCAGAATTAACTAATGATAACTTTACCTAATATAATTTATATTTAAGATTGGACATTCTTAATAAATCTAACAAAAAATAATAGTTTTTCAAACATAACCTTAAAATCATACATTTTATATTTGAGTCCCAAACGCCGATATCTGCTTTTAAAATAGTAAACTAAAAAATATACCTACGAATTCATACCCGTTTTGGATATTTTACCGTTTAGTGGAGACTTTTTCAATCAACGCTTTTAAAAATGCATTACTCTGTTATGCTGAACTCTGAATTTATACAACTTATTTGTTTTATGACTTTAACTGAATTTTCACGTAAATCATTACTAAAATGTGTATTT